ATTTCTTCTAAGCATTTCCTCAGTGCTTGAATTGGTTCATAGACACCTGGTGACATGGTAAGAGTCAGATTTGAGGTATCCATAAAAATACAACACATTCAATGAAACCATGTAGCAGTTATCTTCTATATGGAAAAAAATGGAGGCAAAAATGAAGCATGATCTGTATTCCTGATCCACCTTAACTTTACTTTTTATACTTTTTATATATTTTTTTTATTTATCCATATTTTTATCCTAAGTGTATATATTAGTATATTTTTTGCATGCCTTATACCCCAGTGTTTTTAGAGATTTCTATAATTTTATTTACCTATTTCATATTATATGTTTCATGTTGCACGATTGTACCATAAAAAATTCCTAGTTGTGAACTCCTTCACCAACAATGGCAATAAACCCGATTGTGATTCTTTGGTTTAATGAGGTCCAAAACCTATGATTTACCACAACGTTGCACTGAATACATCTCCCTCCTGTCTTACAGATCAGGCTAAGTGAGGTCCAGCAAAAGCTCCTAAAAGTTCGGAGCTGTTTGCACGTCACTGGATATCCAACAGAACCCCACATCCAAAAGCAACCTTTCATTAACCTGTTTCCTCAAGTTGGAACCAATAAAAACCAAACCAGTGACACCCCGAATGTCAGCCAGGAACTAATATCAAATATTACCAGACAGAATTAGATTAAGACAAAACTGATATTTTGCTGCAAAGCAAAAAAGAAACCAAACATTAACAGTTTGGAGGGTTAGACTGGATCTATTGACCAGGAAAGAAACATCAGTAGTTTGAGAAAAACTCGTAGCCATTACCAACCAGCTGGAATGGCTGGGATCTATATCTGCAAGAACATTTTATTCTATTCGAGAAACCTTCAAAATAACAAATACAAAAAAAAAAAAACCTTTACTCTGCTGAAAATCCAAATGTTTGGCTGAAAATGTCAGTTTCTCACACATTGAAAATGTATCTATAATGGCTGCATATTAATGCAAACCAGGAAATAAGATCACTCTGCTGTCCTGTTCCTGCTATGAAAAGTCATGAGGAAAAGCTCTACAAAAACAAATTCAACCAAAGCAGTGATCAAATTTGACAGCAGCTCCTTTAAACGTACATTACATAAAAAGTTTGTATCTAAAACAGTTTCTCTGAAAGCCAGAGCTCCATCCTACCTCCATCTTGGTCAGTATCTGTTCTTCTTTCTGACACACCAGCTCTCTGTAACTGAGCTGCTGCAAACTTCCACTGCTTTGCATACGTTTCCGTAAAACTGGATTCTGTTCTGAGTTGCAGAGAACCACCCAACTGAACACATGCTATAATCTAGCCGGAGCAGACATTTGCATAGTCCATATTATTTACACAGGGAAATAAAATGCAAAACACTGCGGCCTGTTGAACGTAGAAACACTGAGCAGGAATCACCTCCACTCCTCCGACACAAACATCTCCTCTCAGAGATTATGCAGAGCCCTGTTTCCATTAGAGATCAATTTGAGACGCAAATGAAAAAAAACAAACGAAAAAAATCATTAACATGTTTTCACCTTCGAAGTTCAACTGGAAGCAACGTTTCAATTATTTCAGAAATTTTACCGAAGAGCTGCACTGCAAAAAGTCCTTTTTTCTTAAAATATGCTTATTTGCCCTTTATTTGAATAATTAAGTAAAACAATATATCAGTGGGATAAAATATTTGCACTTAAAAAAGAAAAAAATAGTTTAATGCAGATACTTATTGTAAGACCAAATATTAATTTGCAGATTTTATCAGCTCCATTGAAAGGAAATTATTCTTTCAACCAGAAAAAAATGTTTTGCAGTGTTGTCATTTTAGCTGTGCAAACAGAGTATAATATATATATATATGCGGCCTAAATTTACAATGTTTCAAATTTAGTGAAAACTAATATTTACTGCTTTTTACACTACAGTATTTTAAACTACAAATCTTCTGTAATAAAATGTGCAGATATTCAAACTCTCAGACCGAGTCATTTGTAGATTTTAGCTTTATTTGTCTAAACTGTGCATGCAGTCATTCCAAGAAAAATAAAAACTACCGTATGCTCTTATGCTGTACAATAAAAAATAAAAATCAGTTTAAAGTTTCAGTTCTACACAGTTTCTCTCCTCTATCAAAGTTTAGAGCTTTGACCATCTGCCACCAGCTTCATGTCAGCGAAGGTTGAGCTCCAAGCTGCCTGAAGCAGTAGAAACTGAAGGCCCAGGTTTACTTGATCTAAATCCATCTCTTATTATAAATCAGACTTTTTTTTTTTTTTTTTACTTTTAATGTTGCCTTTTAAATATTAACGTCCTTTCCTTACTTAATATAATCTGAGGAGTGGAAAACACTCAGATGTTAATTTGATCTAGGTTACTCATAAGGGGTGTCCATTAAATATTTTTTTTTAACCTGGGCATATAAACGTTAAAACCTTTGAACAAAAATGTTAAAACCATTAAAGCAGAGAAAAAAATAAAATAATAATAATAATAAAATATATATATATATATATATATATATATATATATATATATATATGTTGGCTTATAACAATCTAACTGATCTAAATCCTCATTTACCTTAATTTTTTTTATTTTTTTTTTAAACTTTATTACTTTGTTTAGGTTTTTAGTAAAATATAAGAAACAATCTATGGCTCCATTAACCAAGAACATCTCTTCTCTAAAATGCAGCTCTGTTGTTTTTTTTTTTTAAATTAAGCTGAACTGAGCAGGACTAAATCAATCAATGCTGAAAGTTCAGCCTCTGAGTTCATTTTCAATTTTTACCTTTTCTGATCTCCTTCCTCCCAAACTGCAGGTTTTTTACATTCAGTCCAGATTTCAGATGTCAGTTCCTTTCTAGTCTCTGTTAAAATTGTATAGTTTTACAGATAAATATTAAAACTGACGGATAAAAGCAGGAGCTGGCTCCAAAGCTTCCCTGCAGAGTTTGAAAGCTGACACACCTGAAAAAAGTGATGCTGATTGTTGGGGAGGCAGAGTAATTAATGCAGACACTCCCATCAAACGGTCCCATTAAAACATAAACTGGATTATTAACACCAAGAATCCAGTGTAAAAAAGACAAAGGTTTTCTGTGCCTGTAAGCAGTACTTGATTCCAATTAAACCAAATAATTAGAAACCATCTCCAGTATAAAAATATATTTTAAATGTTAAGTTTAAATTATATTTTAAGTTTTAGTTTAAATGTTTGGTATAAACAAGTTGATTCTAAAGCTTGGAATTTAGCTAGTGTTAAGCTAATTGAATTTGCTATGAATAGTTACATTAATCACCTGAAAGTTAAACTTTTAATGCTGGATGTGGAGCTTCTGTTTAAAAAAAAAACGTATCTACCATAATTTTGCCTCCCAATAACAATGAAATGACTGTAGATAGGAAAGGATCATTCTGTGGTTCATGACGTTATACCCAGTCTACAGAGAGTATCCTCTTATCCAGCACCAGAAAAAAATAAACATGTTTTTGTTTGGGGGAATCAGCATTAGCAGATATTTAAAATTAGAACTTGTAAATTCTCTGTCAGTAGGGCTATTAAAACAAATAAACAGGGCTAATTTAGAGACAACCAGACTTTCGTTTATTTTTTCTGAGGACATTTCCACACCTACTCAAAGCACTGATGTGTTTTGGCACAATGGAGGACCATCCTCCTAAGCACATCCCACGTCAGATGCAAATCGAAGACCAACCCATCATTCTCCTGGGTTCTTAGAGTCTTTTGTTTTGTGTTTTAGGCCATTTGAATTATGACATTTCTCTGGAATGAGTTTCAGAACTGAATTGTAGATAGTTGGGAACTGAAACCCCAAAACTATCCCATTTGTTTAGTGATTGTTTTTCCCTTTAATCAAGAATTGTTTACTTCACTGCTCATT